GGTTGTGTGAAGTATGTTGAGGCCGGTGTGCAGCTCCTTTTTGTTATTAGACCGAGGTGTCTAACATGAAAAAGGAAAAAGAAGGCGTGCAACTGACTGGTGCACGCTATGTGAATGGAAAATGATCAGGAAGTGGGAATAAACAGTGATGTAGAGCACTTACGTGTGATGGAATGGGCGGGTGCAAAGGTGAGAATACCTGGTGAAGTTGTTGGGTCTGGTCTAGGTGGCATATGGGTGCTTGAATGTGGATCCTTGCGGGAGGGGGTGGTTGGTGACATGTCAATTCGGCGGGAAGAAAAGAAAAATACAAGGTGGTCAGAATCTAGGCAATGTTAGGACAAGGAAGTACACTCTTAACTCACCATAAGGTTTGTTGTGTTGCGATATCAATGACGAGGAGCATGTGGTGAAAACGAAGGAGTTTGTCCAAATGGCTTCCCTCTTGTTGGTGGTTGATGGTCTTTGGGTCCTGGTTGGTTTGGGACAGGTGCTGTTCGGATGCTGTGGTGACGAAGAGTCCTGGATGCTGGTGTGGTGTCAGGTGGTGAGAAGGAAGCTGTAGTTGTAGACATATTTTAGTTGGTGTAGTCCAGAAATGATGTCCAAGTATATGACTGGAAGCATTGGATGAACTCAATGGAGATGGAGTGGTTCCAAGTTGTTGTGGATGGAATACCTTGTTTGCAGAAGGAGCAGGGGGATGGGGGAGGGTGGGAAGTTGATGTCGGATCATACACTGCTGCTTAATCTGTTTAAGAACCTTGCATTTCATATTAAACTTCCTAAATCTTGTTTGCAGATGAAGTGCTGTCTGAAAACTTTCTGGATTACAAGAACCGTGGTGTGAATGGCTCTCACAGGGGGCAGATAGTCTGGAAGATTGAAGCCAGCTCTTACTTTGTGGAACGTAAGTGCACTTAAATATAAAAGGTGCTTTTATAAAACTATCCAGTGATTGTAGAGATGGTGCTATACTTAATGAAATTATGTACATTATAAGCAGGTTGTGAACCTCTGTTGACTTTGTTTTCAAGTTTACTCTTCACTGGTCTAATCAAGCTACCATACCCTTTTCTCTTTTTTTCTTCCGGATATGGTACAGAACAATTTTAGATACACAACAAAACATTAGTTAATATTGTACTCGTACATCTGTAGAAAGAGCAGCCTAGGTCTGCTTGCTGCTCTTTGTTTCTCTTTCAATGTTTTTGAGTTGAAATTGGGGAAACATTACATAAGGTACAACATAATATGCATAGTAATTGATGATAAAGGTTAGTGTCATCTGTGTGGATGTGCAAATGTTGCAAAGCTGTAGCTTTCAAACAAAGAGGATGATTTAATTCGAAGTCAAGGCAAAGAGGATGTGCATATATTGTCTCAAGTGCCATTAGATAGTAAGATAGAGTCAAAACATGTATTGGGTTGTATATTTGGTTTATGAGTGTCCTATTTTGCCATACAGACAAGTTAAATTTGGGGTGCTTGGAAGAAAGGAATGGGTAAGTGTAATGAGGGGGAGGGGGGGTTATGGAAAGAGAGGATGTGCATATATTGTCTCAAGTGCCATTAGATAGTAAGATAGAGTCAAAATATGTATGGGGTAGTATATTTGGTTTATGAGTGTCTTATTTTGCCATACAGAAATCGTAAATTTGGGGTGCTTGGAAGAAAGGAATGGGTAAGTGTAATGAGGGGGGGTTATGGAAAGAGAGGGGAGAGGGGCTAAGGGGAGGAGGAAGAAGGAAACAAGAGGTGAAAATAAGGGTAACCTTTTGTTAGTCATAAACTGAATTTAAATGGATGGCAAGTTTTTCTAAGGAATGTCTAGCTTGGCATACTGTAACTGAGCTAGGGGGTCCAGACCTTTGAAAAGTATTAATAAGTGTCTTTTGTTATAGCCCTTAGTTTGTCATGCATCATGGCACCTTGTAGCCTGCCTTTAACTTCTGGAAAGTTCAACGGTTGAGTCTTACATGAGTTAGCTGTTATCTGCTTAGTGCCTGCAAATATAATATTAGTTTGTTTGACTGACGGGGGGATTCCCTGTATTGGCTTGGTAAGTGGTCTTCCCCTTGTTTAATTGTTTCATCTTATTTCGTTGTTATATAATTTATTTTCAATTAAGTCTGTACTCAAATGGGGGCTGACATTTTTGACATTCTATTAAAAATGCTAGTTTCCTGACTCCCATGCTGATCTAATGGCTTCATTACATTCAAAGATTCTGGTCTGGAGCAAACAGCCAGCATTTTCTGTAAACGTCTGCAATTAAAGCCCCTGTTTTCCTTCACTACAGGTTTCCTTTAGGAAGCAAGCATGAAACTAAACTTTTTTCCTTACAATTATACATTTTCCAAACTTTCTTTTGTATATTGTGTTGTGAACTGCAAATGTATTAGGGTTATGGGTCAGTGGAAAAACATCCTAAAAACTCACCAAGAGGACACAAAATTTAAATCTGGTGGTGATCAGTAATCAACAATGTTGTTGAAAAGGAAAAAACATGTCTTTCTTTTCATATTGTATTTAAACAAATCCATATTTTGCTAAATTAAATGTGTTGTTTAACCTATTTCTGTAGGACTGGTGCCCTGTAGAACCGGAAATGTGTTAATAAACATTCTTGGTTTACCCAATGTAAGCATAGCTGATGACAGTAAAGCATATCCTGGGAAGTGGGGTATGTTGGCTAGGTTAGATACACACCGAACAGCCATAACATTATGGCCACCCGCCTAATATTGCGTAGGTTCCCCTTTTGCTGCCAAAACAGCCCTGACTCGTCAAGTCATAGACTCCACTAGACCTCTGACGGTATTTTGTGGTTTCTAGCACCAAGCCATCTGTAGCTGTTCCTTTAAACACTGTCAATTGCAAGGTGGGGCCTGTATGGATTAGACTTGTTTTGCCAGCAAATCCCACAGATGCTCGATTGGATTGAGATCTGTAAAATTTGGAGGCCAAGTCAACACCTTGAACATGTTGTTGTGTTCTTCAAATCATTCATGAACCATTTTTGCAGTTTGGCAGGGTACATTATCCTGCTAAAAGAGGCCGCTGGCCGCAAGGAATTCCATTTCTATGAAGGGGTGTACTTGGTCAGCAACAATATTTAGGTAGGTGGGATATGTCAATGTAACATCCACATGAAAGCCAGGACCCAAGGTTTCCCAGCATAACATTGCCCAAAGCATCACACTGCCTCCACCAGCTTGCCTTCTTTCCACAGTTCATCCTAGTGCCATCTTTTCCCCAGGTAAGTGTCACACATACACCTGGCCATCCACATGATGTAAAAGAAAATGTGATTCATCAGACGAGGCCACCTTCTTCCATTGCTCCGTGGTCCAGTTCTGATTCTCACGTACCCCATGTAGGTCTGTTCACTACCTCCAAGGTAGCGAGCAGAATAGAAAAAAATTTAAACAAATGAACAAAAAAAATAATGTTTACAAATTATTTAAATAAATGTTAAAAAAAGAAAAATGTAAAAAAAAGTTAAAAAAATAATACACATTTTTTAAGAAAAGAAAAAAAAACAGTGTGGGGTCCCCCTCCCAAACAATACCAGACCATTTAGGTCTGGTAGGAATGTTTGGAGGGACCCCTATTTAATGGGAATGGGGACAAGGGCCTCTTCCCCACAAGCCCTCGGGCGTTGGTTGTGGGGTGCGGGCAGGGGGGGCTTATTCACATCAGCATACCCCCTTAATAAAGGGGCACCCAGATGCGACTCCCCTTGTGAATGATACTTGTACTCCTACCCATTCACTAAAGAGTTAAATTAAAAAATTTTTAAAAAGCCAGACTTTTAGAAAAAATCCTTTAATTGAAAAAAAAACGCAACACAGGCTTTTGAGAAGTCCTTTATTATAAAAACCATGAAGTTCAGCATTGTCCATAACGATGATGACTGTACGAAAGAAAAAAAAGAAAAATAATAAACAAATTAAAAATGTTTTTTTTTAAAACCCCGCCGCCCGCCGACTCGTCTGCACACAATGAACTCTTGTTGCAGAATGGCATTCTGACAGATGCCGGCAACATATAAACAATTGGGTGGAGCTAGCGGTGTCATCAGCGCTAGCTCCGTCCAACTGTTTACATTTGTTCGGCACCTGACAGTCGGCCCGCAGGTCCCGGACAAATCAAAAGACCCAGCTGTTGTCATGTAATGTGTCGTGACATTAAGGCTGGCTCTGCCCAGCTGTTGTCTTTTGCGGGGAGAGCAGTCAGCTTCAGCCGCTCTTTCTCCTCGCTTCGGCTATCAGCCAAGCCAAAGCATATGCGTTCGGCTTGGCTGCCTTCGGCTGCTGTACGGGCTATTGCGAATAGCCCGTACAGCAGCCCTTTGGTTCGACTAAACCGAAGGGCTCCAGGGGCCGAAGTGAGCTGAAAGATCAGCCGAAGCTACGGCTAGATCCTTCAGCTCAATAGTGAATAACCCTAATAGATATTCTTTACAGTGTATATAAATCTAATTTAGTGTTAGATTTAGTATCAAGTTATTTTTTTTGCTGCCTGTGTCCCGCTGGGTAGTTTCCCATTATACTTCCTCTCCTGAAGATGCAACCAGAAATATCTCCAAATAGAGTGGAATTCCTATCCTAGATAGCTGAAACAGGAACATGTGTCCCCATTGGAGAATTTTTCCATACCTCTTGCGGAGATTACAACGATAGTTTTGTATTTCCCCTCCCTTTTTATCTCGGCGACATTGGTAATCAGAACACACAAAGAGCTGAATTTCTCCAACACACAGAGGGCAAAAAAAACTCGACAGAGGGTCCAACATTTGCCCTTCCATATTCAAAACTGAAAAAATTGCTTTACATAAACTTTAAGGGCAGAGTCATGCTTTAGCAGTACCACAGCAAAATGCTGCATGTACTTGTCCATTCTTGTGCAAACAAAAGAAGTTACAGGAAGTCACAGGGATATAAGATTTCTGGCAGGATCAACCGTTATTTTTCTGTACATGCAGAAAATGTGCTTAGCCTGAGAAGAAAGAAAACTAATGTAGTCACTGATAAACTGCAAAATATGACATTGTTTTTGGGTTTAAATACATTTTAATCAAAACAATGTATTAAATATAATAACATGTAAATAATAAACAAATTATATTTTTGTTTATTTGGTTACTTTCATCTTATTGATTTCCAAAGAAAAAGTCTGGGCGCAGAGGCTATAGCTTATTCCAAGATCAGACCCAGACACCCAAATATAATTTAAAGGTTTTACAGAATCTTCATGTTGTGGTCTTGTGATGTGCAATTCCAATGAGATTATCAGTGACCCAGATTTTCAATGGCTAATATCTCAAAATTCTACATATAAAATTAGGGGGTCTGACACGTTTGTCAGACTTATGATGAGAACCGTATTAAGGCTTCATGTTGCCTTGGGACACAGAGCAGACCTGTCTCATTTAATGTTCTTCAGGCTCTTAAGCAGTTTCTCTTTGGGGAAATTGCAATCCTGTCTCCACAGAGAACTGATAATTGCGGAACTATTACCATTTTGGTAGTATTAAAAAGATGTTCACTCACACTAATCATTTTATAAATATTTTTTTTAGAAAGCTCTTCCTGCTTACTAAATCTGTTTATACCTTTATTTTATAGCATTGTTTTATTGGTTTGTTTTATTCTATATTAGCTGTTTTATCTGTTTGGTTGTATCTTTATTTTGGAGCCTTGCAAAGGGAATCAACATGAGGTATCATGCTAGCATTCAAAAATTAGCTTTCAGCAGCTTAGTGTAATCAAAAGACTAACAACATATTTCTGCATATAATTATACTGTGTACAAGGTAATGCTTAGTATTCCTTGTTTATCATAGTGTGTAATATGAAAAAAAAGGCTCTTCTACTCCTAGCAACAAGTCTATATCTTAACTTT